CCCTCTCGAATGACGGTGTGAAATCTACAAACGATCTACCTTTGTAATTGTTGGAATGCATTTTTGAATCTATTGAAGCCATAAAAGCAAAAGCCCCCGCATAAGGCGCCCATACCATGGGTCTAGGAATTATTAAAATTCCATATTTTCTGTAGTTGAGGGCTTCAAATTGAGGCAATAACTATCTGACCAATATTCCCTATTTGATTAGTGGAATATATTTAAACTGCTTTCGAATATACTTACGGCAATAATCTATAGACTTCCTGCAGCTATTAAAGGGAATCGGATAAATTAGCAGACTTTTCCTCTTGTTTTATAAAAAAGCTGGAAAATAGTAAACTTCGCAAAGTGTGTTTTTGGTCTATTTCGCCAATATTTTTCAGTAGTCAAAATTAGGCAAAAACAAAGCTTCTCCAATTCCCATTAGACTATACTCTAGATGTAGATATAAGCTCAGTTAAAAAAATCTAATCTAGTTTAAAGTACATCCTCCTTTTGTATTCATATACTACATACGAATGATGTAACTTTTTTAGGTAGCATCTGTCTCATTTCGGTGCATTTATTTTATGATATTTGGTACAATCTGAAATTTCCATTTTTCATGCCTGCCTCAGAAACCAAATTAGTGATGGATTATTAATAAAAACAGTGGTAGATCTCTAACAAAGTGTGGTAGAGTATTTGTAAACTTTTTATACGCCGAATTAGACTTCCTTTAAGCCGCATAGTCCTAACCGCAAAAATAACGTAAGCGATATTTTTTTTTTAAATTTAAGGCGCAAATGCTCTTAGAGCACCTTCGCCTTTTCATTGCCCATTTCTCTTTTCGCGTTTGATTCTAAAATAAAGGCAAACGGTGAGAAAATGTTGTGTCCGTTTCTTAAAATGTCACACTTTTGTAAATCAAAAAACGCACATTATCTGCTCTTTGAAGCTTTGTCAGGGGAGATGGTTACCCCGAAAATCAGATAAAACGATAATATTATGAAACGCGTGAGCTGGACATGGAGAAGAAGGCAAAGACATACCCTTTACAGGGTTGAGTGTAACATCAAACACATTTTGCACTGGGAAAGGCAACATTTTTTGGAAGAAACGAAACCACCGTAAATAATATCGCAATTTAAACACACTGAAAATTCACTGCACTCGTTCAACTTTTGCTTTCTGTGGAAATGTATCGCCAGGAAAATCGACTCGTGTAATTGTAGATTTAGACTGGTTTTCACTATGTCATATTTTGTTAACAAATTTTGACAGCATATTTTGACACAACTTTATCTCCTTTTCCCATACCTTTCCCAAGTATATTATGGGCCAACAGCATAACAGATAGTCAATTTAACAGCACATGTACACGACTGAAAGACTATTCTGATATAAGTCGATCGATAAACCGTTTTCTAGTTGCATTTGACAACGTGTTTTCACTTATTTGTCGACAAATGCCACTAAATTTGACTAAGTGAAAACCAGCAATTATCCTTCATGTACGCAATAGAAATTTTGAAATGTTTGGCAGCACCTTCAGCTCTTGAACTAAAAACAATATTCTGACTTTTAAATTCATATTCAGGAGAAAATTTCCTGTTCAACTTTTATGAAAGCAACATTTCGGTGAATTAGGTTAATAATTTTATTTCAGTAAAATTGTGGTAGATTTTTTAAATATGTGGTAGTTGTGGTAGAAGCGAAAAATGACCGAAAATGTGGTAGATCTACCACAATTGTGGCAAAGTGACAGCACTGTTCGCGGTTTCGTTAGGTGCTCTTCTCCATTCAGCACGCTCCCTGGTGATCAGATATTTTCCGACGTTTCTTCTTACTTTTAACCACATACCCTATATGTACCTATGCCCATGTGGCCGTTGACCCTGTTCCAGTTTTGGTGACAATCAACTGCTCGTCGGGATTAATATTGGTGCGTCTTCCTGGCGGTTTATTCCAACTGTCGATTGCTTGCACGATTGAGAGAAATATAGATTGCGCTCATCGCGGTACCGCTAGTTATATGTCCAATAATTTCGGGCTAATGTGTCTGAATGGGTGACGCGATCAAAAAAATTTTACACACACTTGTAGTCAAGGCTCTACACTTTATTGTAAAGCTTAATTTTGTAATTTTGTTGCGGCTGAAAACAACAAAGCTTCTGGGGCTAACTATTGCTAAATTGTCAGATTATTTCCAAGAAAGGAAAAAAAATCTTCAAGAAGACGAGGTATTGCTTCAGTGTAACTTCTCTGAAAACTACATATGCTTATGCTGTACAAGGTTTTCATTATAATAATGATCAGTGCACAGTTCGTCCTGCAATTTTCTACTACAAAGAAAAAAATGATGAACTAAAGCACTATAGTATTATATTACTGTCAGAGTGTACTATCGATAGTTCGGATAATTTTAAAATGCACTGATAAAGCTATTTGTATAAACTTTTTAGTTTCACTTAGTTCTCGAAGAATCAGCTAATTTTTGTATAGCGATTTTCAGTAACTTTGTCATTTCTCTCAGATTTTTTATATATTTTGAACCGATCATATAAAAACGCAAAAATTCCCAATTGTAGAAAAACAAATCGCTTGTAAATGTAAAGAAAACTGTATATATTACAAAAAACTTTCATCAGTTCAACTCCGGCTACGCCACAGTATTTTTGAATTCATTCCAAAATTTACGGAAAAGCCCATATTTCAAGCGTATGCTACAAGAACCAAAATCATTGTACAAATAGCCGAACCGTACCCCGACTTCTACATTATTATTTATCCATTCAAAGTATCGAAAGGAAATACAAGAAACCCCCTTATTTGACTAACCCTGGCCTATATCAATAGTTTCTTCGATCGATGCAGAATCACTAACACCATAGTATAGTTCCAAAAAGATATTCAAACTAGTTTTTTCAAATTTAATTACACCCGATTTACATGATTCAAGTACTTTAAAGCAATTCTGGTATATTCTCGTTTGTGTTTTATATTTGCTTTTGCACCCTTCAATTTTGTTGAATTCAAGTTTTTGATTCTTTAAATGTGAACCAACGAAAATGTCAAAAGCAAAGCAACCTCTCTCAACCCCTCTCTTGCACTAGCAAGCAGAATTGAATTCAATAATTGAACCGTGCAAAACCCGGTAATAGGTAAAAAATAGTGATGTGTAATCAAAAAAATGTTGCCAAATTCCCAGTTTCAAAAATAAAAACATGCGTACTAAATAGTTTATATAATATAATCAATATGTATATTTCCTCAAATAAAGGCTATCGATAGTTGCCAACGTCCATTCGATATTGCAAAAAAATAGAACTATTCGATATTATCGATAGTACCTTCGATAGTTTTACAGCTCTATTCTACAGCAAACAGTATTTCCAGAAATTAAAAACATATGCCCAATACCAGACAACAGCATGAAAGAGCTAAGGGTTCACTTTCTAAACGATTTTCTGTAGCACAATCTTCAAGCACAAAATTCAAGTAGCACACTCGTTATAGTTACATCAGAGAAAAGGCTAGAAATATTCAGGTACTCAAATGCACCCGCACCACTCTCAGTTGTACAATATTAGACATATAACGTACAATAAAATTGGAAAAAAAAATAACAACGCTAAAAATATTTCTAACTCAAACACACCGGGCTTCTGGGGCTTTTACTATGTAGATATAAGACTTGAACTAATCACGCTAATTAATAATCAATTAATTAAAATAGCTGGTAACTGTTTTAACAAACTGAATTACTAATTTATGTACGCATTTACTGATATGACGTCTTCTAAGGGCCGCAGCATTTACGTAATACTGAATTTACATTTATCATGGAAAAGTCAAAATCGAACATACTTGTGGACATGGCGTATGACTTACCTAGACGAGATTAAAATGCTACTCATACGCCATGTACTTGCTTTCAATTTTAACTGTTCCGTAAATAAATGGTACATCCAATATGGATCCACCATTTTGAATTTTTTAAATTTGATTTCAGATTCATAATCAGCGACTTAAAAACCCCCAACTGTAAAATTTAAACGAATCCAATAGATCCTGATTTTTTCATCCGCCATATTGGGTCCGCCATTTGTAATTTTTCCAATCTTATTTCTGATTCGTAATCAGCGATCCATATGCCCCCCGCGTAATGAATTCTAAGTGAATACAATAAACTTTGTAAAAATCTTCCGCGATGTACGCAATTTTTCCAAAGAGCAGCAGCGAGTTTTTGATTTAACGGACGCAATGGTGTATGGATAGTGAGTAACTTGCCGCATAAGCATCGTTGACGCTGACACTTAGGTGACGGTGTACGTGACGCAATGGACGTTGTACTTTCGCTTTAAAACAAGTTAAATGAAATATTAAAATACGTGTGCCGAACGAAAGAGTTTTAAGGAAACTTTAGTTTGAAAAAATTTGTATAAGGGTTGCCACCTGTTCGAAAAAATGTCTATCCGGATTTGTATGAAACATTTGTAATATTTATTTAGGTTTTCTGTTTAAAAAATCATATAAAATTTTGGCGTTTTAATGCCATACGGGTTCACTAGTACCTATTTATTTCGTTTAGCTATGCAATAGCAAGAATGCAACATATGTATTTAAAATTCCGTCACATTTTTCTTTTTATTGTGAATTAAAGGCTATCAAATAATTATTTTAAACTCAAAGTCCTTTTGAGAAGAAACCCTTACGTGCTTATGAAAAATTAAAAACGCCGATTTCTCACAACTAAGAATAGAACAAAATGTTTTATTTTGGTGCATTGGTGGAAAATATAAAAATTGAAACCGTAAGTTCTTTAGAAGTCAAACGATTGGTATCATGCATACATATTTAATTGGCGAGCGGGACAATAATTTCCCGATCACATGATTGGACTACCGATTTACACCAAGTTTTCAGCAAATGCTCAAACGTCTGATTCAGCCGTTAGGCGATTTTTATTTATTTGCAACTAACTTTTTAAACAGTTTTCATTTTATTTCTTATAGAACTACAAGCGTGTGGCTGAGGTATGGATGGACGAGTACAAATCGTATTTATACGAACACGGGAAAGGATTTTACGAGGTGATTGATCCAGGTGATTTGAGTAAACAAAAAGCTATTCGCGAAAAACTCCACTGCAAGTCGTTTAAATGGTTTATTGAGAACGTAGCATTCGACCTGATACGGGCCTATCCGCCGGTAGAGCCACCTGATTTTGCATATGGTGCCATACAAAGCGACGCCGAACCAGCACTTTGCATCGATACCTTAAACAAACCCCGGCATTCGAAAATTGGACTTTATCCCTGTGCAGAAAATCTTAAACAGCCGCAAATAAATCAAAATTGGGCTATAAGCTGGCGCAAGGACTTGCGTTTGCGTCGAAAAAGATATTGCTTCGATGTACAACAACAACCCCCGAATGCATCCATATGGCTGTGGGAATGCCACGGCCAGGGAGGAAACCAATTTTGGTTTTATGACCGTCATCACAAATGGCTTATTGCGGGAAAGCACAATAATCATTGCTTGGAGGCCGAACCTAAGAGTCGAACTATTTACATTAACCGATGTGACTCGGAAAATCCTTACATGAAATGGAGCTTTGGTAATGTAAATGATACGGCATTGGACATGTTTTTTCAACAGGAACCGAAATATTTTTGATAGAATTTTTCTCTGAATGACTCTCATGTAGTTTTCAAGGACCGATAAAATGTTGTCCAACAAATCATTGAATAGAGTATTAAATGTAGATATAGATAAAAAAAAAATATTTGCGTAAAAATCAATTTTCATAGAGTAAACAGAGTTTTACGAAAGAAAAGTTCACGTTTTACACATTTCCTGAAAATGAAATGGAAGGTAAGTATATTTCATCCGATTTTTGTGTAACAAGGAGAAAAATAACAGATGGACCTTTTTTTTAGAAAATAAAATAATTAAAACTAATTTAAAAAAATAAATAGTAAAAACTTATAATTATGTCGGGTACCTAGGGTAAAATTCGTGTTGAATTAAATGTTATTATAATCTGAAATACAAAATTTGAAGCCATAATTATTTATGTTTATATTATAATCATATAATATATCGTGGTGGGGAACGCAAGCACAGATTGAAGGTTACACATGTGGTTTGCAAAGTTAATTATTTAATTAATTGTTCGAGGAATCTTGCCCTGTTCTGTTAGCCCTATGTAACTATAATGCCATTCGCAAGTTAGTTTATATTAGAGATGCCAGATCGAAATAATAGAAAATTGATCTTAGAATCGATTCGAAACGAAATCAATTATATAAATATGCAATCATGTTTCCTTTACACCCCTTTTACGGCTAAACTGTACTTCTAAGGTATAAACAATTATATATCATTAGAAAGGTATTTTGATGCTGATGTGCAGGCAATTTTTAAAATTTCAAATTAGTTTAAAATAGAGCGAAAAAATCAATTCAAAAGTCACACCAATACCAATGCCATACATGTACATGGTTGGGGCGGAAATGCCTCCTAAATGTATGCTTTAATATTGATAGTGAATTAAAGAAACGTGCTAAGCAGCAGTGCAGGAATAAGATGTATGTATGTATGTACATGAATAGATTAGCCTCAAACAAGGATGAAGATAATTTGAGTATGGAGAAGAAGAAAGGGATAAATACAGAAATTAAAATAAAAGTAAAGAAACCTAAATATAAAGACAAAGGGGAAAGAAAATTTAAATACCTAACCTAATAACAATGGTGGGGGTGAATATGTAAATGAAGAAAAGAATGGCCATATTTAGATCAGGATAAAGGAAAGGATAAAGATGAAGAAGAAGATGAAGACCAAGACGAGGAAGAAGATGAAGATGAATATGAAGATAAGGGTAAAGATAACTTATCTTAACTTAACCCCTTAACTTAACTTAACTCACCTCAACTCATCTCACCACCGCTTAAAAACTTACTCCACCTGAGTTCGCTACACATTAATTCACCACACCTTAACTCCCCAAACCTAAATCCACCACTACTTCACTCCCCAGACCTAAATTCACCACACCTTAATTCACCACACCTAAATCCACCACACTTTAATTCACCACACCTTAACTCACCACACCCCAACTTTCTCACCACATCTTAACTCACCACACCTTAATCCACCACACCTTAATTCACCACACCTCAACTTTCTCACCACACCTTAACTCACCACACCTTAATTCACTACACCTCAACTCACCACAACTAAATTCACCACACCTCTTAAGACCACCACACCTGAATTCATAACACCGTAGCTCTCACACCCAATTCCACCACACTGCAACTCACCACACCCAATTTCAACACATGACATGATATCACTAAAGAAACAATGTAAAGAAAGAGAGGAAGGAAAATTTAACTACCTAACCTAATAACAATGGTGGAGGTAAATACGTAAATGGAGAAAAGAATGAAGATATAGATCAGGATAAAGGAAAAGATAAATATGAAGACGAAGGTGAATATGAAGATGAAGATGAAGATGAAGATGAAGATGAGGATGAAGATGAAGATGACGATGAAGATGAAGATGAAGATGAAGATGAAGATGAAGATGAAGATGA